CAGGGGCAATCTGTCCCGATGGTCGATGTAGACCTGATGCATGTGCCGCGCGACCATCATATCGCGTTTCCAAAACATAGTGCATTGTAACATGTTACCACAAAGGACGCGGCGCTGAGATGGCAGTTTGGGGACGCGCGCACGCTGGGGAGGGTGCCAGTTTGTTGGACTGCCTCGGCTACAACGCCGCGAGGTTTTATTTTTCCCCATTGCCACCGCAGGGGCATCTCCTGAAGTTCCCCAGTCGTTCCCCGACTGGCTCGGCCAGCTTGGGGCGGCCAGCCAGTTCCGCAATGGCACCGACGCTAAGAACCCGCCGTGGAAAGGCGGAAGATCAAAAGAACGGCGTCATCGATCCTCCCGTTTCCGGGGCATCTTGGATGGCCTGCCTAATTCGCAGGAAGGCACGGGGTAGCATTATCTTTCTCCATGAGAGGATGTGCTACGGAAGCAAATTTCGGGTGGCACCTGGCGGCTCTGCGGTCTCTACAGAGATGCCCGCTTCTATTTGCAGTCGCGCCGGCGGTGATGCGGATATGTTATTCTCCACTACCTGGCATGGCATCTACGATTTCAAGTGGTCACGCAAGGGAATTCAATGTGACCAATCCCCTTGGCATCATGGCTCACCTGCAGTCGGGTGAGACGTTGGCCGCCGACTTCAACGGTTCTCGAGTGACCGTCTGTGGACGGACGACGGGAGGTACGTCTGCTTGCGGATGGAAAGTTTCCGCGCTGGCATGAGGCAGCGCCCGCGCTGCGGCGGGGTAGTTGCTCGAATCCCGCGACTGCCAGGACAAGCGCTAATTGAGAAAATCGATACCGTGCTCCAAACGCAGGCCGAGTTCATATGGATAGCGGGCCCAGGCGGGGCGCGCCCGAGTTGATAATTCGAGGAACGAAAGGCCCATGGCAGGCGCGACTTGCCAGGCCCGAGAAATTCGCGCGCTTCCCCCGCGGGGGGCTGAGAGAGATAGCGGCGCACCCCTTTTTTCCGACGCGGGCCGTATACGCGGTCCATTGAGCCGTTGAAATGCCCAGTGCGTGCGATCCTCTGGGGGGCCGACAATTCCACCGTATCGCAATGGTGGCCTGTCATCTGGAAGCACTGAGGCCCTTCGGAAGCATCGATGAACTGCCCGCCTCTCCGCGAGCTCATCTGTGCACGCGAGGGGGGCAGCGCAACTGAGCCGAAGGATGGATGGCATGCGCGGGAAGACAAGCTCATGGCAGATGGAATTGATCCTCCAGCGCGACATTGACAAGTGCACGACTACGCAGCCAAGATGGAATATACGCGATGCGATCTCAAGCGGCACTCTTGTTTAGAACGCCTAATCGATAACGCGAGGGCATTGAAGTATTTACGCGCAGTTCCTTCCGTGAGCTGTGAGAGATGAGGCGCGGACGTTTCATGGGCCTTGGGCCGGGCCGTCCTCGGATCCACATCATCGATCGCGCGTGCTCGGACAGGCCCCATATCCAACTTGAGGATGGCCCCCGCGCATTGCTCGGGGGGCGCCGAACGCCGGGGGATTTTGACGACGAGTTTGAATTTCATATTTCGAAGACCAAGATGTCCGCGGAGTCGATTGCTCGCCTTTTCGAATACATAGGCCGCTCTCCTGGCGCGCCAAGGCGCCCGGACATTCGCCGCAGATGGCGCCGGCCTGACAGACTGCCCGGACGCTGCAATTTGTTCGACGCGTTGGGCAGCGAGGCGAAGATGGCCGCATCTAAGTCCCCGGGCTGATGTGCGATCTTTGAACCAGCCCCTGACGGCGAGGCTGATCAAGGATACGTTGTGGACAGGATCGGCGAAGTCTTGGACGATTGTTGGGGCAAGAACGTCAAGCCTGACTGGTTGGATCACAGACCCATTCGCGTGATGCGCACAAGCCGAGAGAACATGATTGAATCAGTGATTCGAGGACGATGCGCGTTGCGCCCGTCCGCGATATCATCACTCCTGGACCGTCAAGAACGGCGGAGAGCAAGCTGCTCCGGTGATAGGGTCGACCATGGCTCGCGACAGATGAAGGGATATTCCTGCGAATTCGAGCAGAAGAGAAGGAGCGCCGCCAGGAGTTCCGACCTGCTGGAGACGTTGATTGCGGGATTGGGGCTCAGTCTCAAGACCGAGATGCGCACGAATCTTTGGCCCGTCCAGAACGCGATCGCAGTCTTCACTAATCGGGCCGAGTGGACAGCGCCATGGCAAAATTCCCGGCAAAGATACTTGGGCCCGTCGGGTTAGGAAGCGCGGGCAGCAGAGCGCGACAATCGCCGTCGGCATTCTGCGTCTATGCGGCGGCAACGGCATCGCCGACGTCGGCCCAGCTGATAGCAGGATCCCCGCAGCTCGCCCAACGCAGGGCAATGGGGCGAATGACGCCGCGTCTAGAAGATATTATCGCGGAGGTCATTCCGAGCGCTCCGCCACGTCTAGAAGATATCATCGCGGAGGTTATTTCGAGCTCGGTCGGAGGGGCCCGCGCCGCCGTCGACAGACGCAGAGAAATCTGATCTCAAGAAGACTGGGGGTAGTGGCTCAGTCGCTGCTCCTGCGCCTGTCACTCCCGTAAACGCTGCTCCTCATTTCGCACCTCTCCCCCCCGCGCCGCCCGCGCGGGGGTCCGCGACGACCGCCGCCCCCGACGGGCGCCCCCCGCGCGCGGGCGCGCGGCCGCCGCCCCGGCAGAACCCGCGGGCGGAGACGGCGGGGCCGCGGAGCAGGAGCCCAACCGATGAGCGGAGGCTCGCTGAAGCGGCGGCGGGCGCCGCACAGGCGCCAACAAGCACAGGATTTACCGGCGCGGTCAGTGCCAAGACCGTTGGAACCGCAATGGCCATTGTAATGCGCATAAGCACGGTGGAAAATTGGAATAGCATAGAAATGCGCAATGGCGGTCGCAGGAGGGCCACGACATCAGCGAAGGGAACTGCGCCTCAAGACGCGCGAAGCGAAGAAGCAAACGCTGATGGAGGCTCGGCTTCCACGGCACTTCTTGGGAGAGAAGAACTGCGCAAAGTACCTGCGCCTGAACTCCTACTTCTTCTACCGGGCAGGGAATGCTCATTTGCGGGGTGCGTCGGCCCTCTCCGACCGCGCCCATGGGGGGGGTCCAGCGGGATCATCGGCGCCCCAGCTGTGGCGCTGTAAAACGTTGTTTTCTTTTCGGGGTTGGCGCTGGGGGTGGCCGGCGCGCCTGGGGGGCGCCGGGAAGCTGCGTTGCCCTCCGGGCCGGGCTGGCAGCATCGGATCTACGCGGCCCGCCGCGGGGGGGGTTCTTAATGCTATTTCCCTGCTCGCTCCCTGTGCCTGCCGCCGCCCGCTGACGCCGCTCCGCAGCTATTTGCGGATCGGAACAGGAGAGCGTGCTCTTCGCGCGCGTGGGGAATAACAAGTCGTTTCCTCATCTTACTCCCACATAGCCGAAGCATAGCTTAACGGATCCATCATTGGCCATGAGACCCATGACATACCATTACCATTTAAACCCACTTTCGCCGGGGGTCTTGAATCTCTGGCGAATGACTGTCCGAGCCTCCGGCTCCCTCCCCCCGCTTTCCTTCCCCCCTCCCGATGGGCGGAGGCGCGGACCCTTTCCCCCGCACCCCCCGCCAAACCACAAACACAGAAACTTGCATCGACCAGCCTCCCAACGCACGCTTCCAACGTCGGAAACTTTTGCCCCCCTCCCCCTCCTTCTGGTTCCCTTCGTCTCCCCCCTTTCCTCTCTCCTTGCCCCCCCTCTTTCCGACCTCTCCCTGTCTCCTTCCTTCCTTTTTATTTTTCTTTTTCCTCTTCCTCCTCCTCCCCCTCTTCCTCCTCTTCCTCCTCCTCTTCCTCCCCCGCCGCCTCCGCCGCCTCCTCCTTTTGTTGCGCTCCACCCCCTTTCGCCTCGCGCCTCCGAGTTTCCCCGGTCCTATACATGGAGTTCCCGCCACAGCGTTGGCCGCATTTCATGAGTGGCGTTTTGCTCCCGTCGCCCAGATTTGCGTTCTTGCCGCGCGCGGGCCGAACTTTTGGGTCAGATTTTTTCCTCGTCGTCGCCGGTCCCGCCTTTTCCTTGTGACTTCCCCGGGTTCTCCCGCTGTTGTTTCCTCCTCATCTTGTTTGTCATGCTCATTTTTCTGCTCATTCGGTATATCCTACTCGTCCAATGCGTAAAGCCTTCTGTTCTGATTGCGCATCATACGATGCGGTCACTTTGGGGATCAAGGTCGTCGATGCTTCTAGGACACCCCAGTCAGCGAGTGAAGCATACTTCAGCGCAGTGGGAAAGGATGGATGGGAGGGAAAACGTGCCATCTACAGCCAAGACGCTGCAGCACGGATTCTATCGGGTTCGGAAAAGGGGATCGCTGTTCCGTAGGCCCTTCCATGGTTGTTTTTCCAGCGCTCCTCATGCACCCAGGCGTTGGTGCCCCCCCGTATGGATTTCTGCCGAGGAATCGCCCAAGCATGGGAATGAGGATCGGATTATTGCTCATTTGCCAAATTTGGGCCAGCTGTACGGAGCTGGCAAGACTTCAGCCTTTCCCCGCTAGATTCTGGCGCGGTGAAAACTGGCCCCACTGGCAAGACCTTTGCTGGGCGGATGAAGCAATAGGCCCCGATACGGACTTCGTTATTGATCTGGCGTTCCTTATGAGAGCAGCAGGACTGCATGCCGCGAGCGCATCTGGTTTGTTGAGAGTGCAGCAAGTCCTGGTGTGTACTTTCCGGCCCTCATGGAAGGCCAGTGGGCGCTGGAGTGCAAAATTGGGGGCCCCCAAACGGTGCGGTTACCACACCGTGTGGTGAGTCAGTGGGGCGTCGGGGTGACCGCACAGTTTTGAGACTTGGATCCTTCCCCGAGGATGTCACGGGCGACTGTGGCCTCCACGGTCCCAAAACGTTGCGGTGTCGGACCGTGTGGTGATGTCCTCGCGGATTCTGAGGTCACCGCACCATCTTGAGATCCCCCAGGAGGAGCCCCCCCCGCCCGCCCGAGGTGTCGGGCCTCGTGAGCCTCGGGAGGCCCCGCGGCCGGCCGGCCGGAACCCCGCCGTCGTTGCTTGCTTCGGGTGTTCTCGCGCCGCAGCGCGGGCGCACGGCCGATCCTTCCGGGGTGAGGGGGGGCAGACCTTTGCCGGTGGGGTGTTTTTTCTGGGGCGTCCTTCGACGGTCAGGGGCAACGTCAGGGGGATATATAGGATCAGGGGGGATGCATCGACTCCCGATCGCCCGATGATCGCCGATTGGGGCCTTATATCTCGTACTGGTCATGAATTTGCCGATTCGCAGTCGAGGGCTTATCCCCGATCTTTCGGAGCGAGACCCACCGCCAAGCCAGCCGCTGGATCAGGGAGGGAAATTGTTCACGTCTCGCGTATCCCCACCAGCCCATTTGCGAAGTCAGTCCACTGATCATCCGGGTGCGTCTTGGAGGCCTCTTCGAGCCATCGTGGGGCCCTGTTGGAGCTATTTTGGATGCCGCTTGGGCCCTCTTGGGGCTTCATTGGAGTTGTCTTGGGTCGCTCTTGGACCTCTCCTGGGGCTCTCCTGAAGGCCTTGGGGGCCCTTTCGGTGCCATCTTGGAGGCCATCGATCAAAATAGTGGGGTCGCCGATGTCGGCCCCTTGGTCGGAGCCATCAAAGTAGCTAGTGGGGCCTTCTGGGGGCGCTCTTGATGCGGACTTGGGCGCTCGTATGGCCGGCTTGGGCCCCTCTTGGGCCTCTCTGGAGGCTTTCTTGGGGCATCTTGGAACCATTTGGATGTTGGCCCCTCGAGACCTCCTTGGAGCCGTCCCGGAGCGGTCTCGAAGGCTGTTGGAAGCATGTTGGAAGCTATCTGGAACCATTTTGGGCTATCTTGAGCGATCGTGGAAGCCCATTTTGGGCTCTCAGGGGCCCTGTTGGAGCCCTTTTGGGCCCGCGAAGCGCCCCATCCAGACCCAGGTGGAGAGGGGATGGGTCTCAGAGTCGAGGGTGCGAATCTCTTTCACCACACTCTCATGCAGAAGCGCGCCCCTACGCGCGCACCTTCGGCCACCGGCTGGCGCTGCACGGTGCACCATTTCTCATCTTCCTTTTTACTTGGTAGCGGAGCTGGCCCCACGAAGTTGTAGCCAGCTGCGTCTTTCGCAATACTTATGCACGGCGCGGCTTGGTACGCCGCAAACGCGACTGCGACGTCAGAGCGTAACTATTGGCAAGCAGGCGGAAACGCCCTTAGCGGACACGCTATACCCCCTATGGGCGACATCCGCCTGACTACTCCGAAAATCGTATACGCCCCGGCTCTACGCCATTTTACCACAATTTACGGCGAGCTTGGGAACAACATAAGGTACCAGTTTCCGTTACGCGGAAGCGCAAATCCCATATTCTTGAACCAATAGGGGGACGCGATTCCACAGCCAATCCGCCGCTTAACGGCGATGGGCACTCCGAAAACGACTACTGACATTGTCCAGGCTTCCTCATGGAATCATTACTTGAAGTACGTTACTTTTAACATTATTTGGTTGGTCATTGGACGTGCTATAGGATGCTTGCAACGTGGCAACCACAATGATGGAGGCGATAAAGCAACACGGGGGCCATACTGGGACCCCTCAGGGAACGCATCGTTCCTCGAGTTCACTCGTGAAGCACCTGCGTGGCTGAATGTTCCGAGCGCCCGCGTGACCCCACAGCAACAGGCCTCATGCTTGCAACGCGGTGTGGGCGGGGTGGCGCGCGCAATTTCGGTGCGAATCCCTTCCCATATCACCAACTACGGCGCGACGATACAGGGTGTCCATACTGTCCCCGCCACGCACATAATGTTTTTCCTGGGCGACAAATTCGAGAACCTTGAGGACGAGCGACAGCTCACCTCGGGCACGGCGCTCATGGACTTCATGCCTGAGCCAGGTGAGAGAACGGACTCGATTTTAGCCCGGTTCGAAACGGCCCTTCTTGAGGCTGAGTCAGTCGGCGTTGCCATCCCGATTCTTCAGCTACTTACACAGCTGCTCCGTAGTGCCCGGAGGTTTGGCCCTGGCAGGGATGCTCATATGCTGCAGCCCCTCGACGGTCGGACGCCGCGGACCCGGCAACGGCATGGCGAACTGCCGGGCCGCGCGCGTCGCTGTGGCCATCTGGCTGAGCGCGCCCCTGGCAACATCGGGTACGCGGCGTTGGAGGGCGCAGGGCGCGGAAACGCGAGCACGCGCATGGCGAGCGCCGGCGGAGACGCGGCCGCGCCCGCCAACGCGTGGGCCGACGACGCACGCAACGCAGAGGAGGCCACCGCATCACTATCAACGGCCCCATCGGGGTCAAGGAAGTGGCAGAAGCGACCCGACGTGATCGACGCAACGTGGCTGGGGGCAGCTTTCTAGCCCCCGATCACGCACTGCGCGCGAGAGCCAGACTGCCCTATGGGGCTCAACCTCCGACGGAACAGTTGCCGACGTGCTATCATCGGGCGGAGACGGGCGCGCGGGCGCGTCGGATCTCCCCCCCGGCCTCGGCGATGCAGAAACCGCGGGGTGCTTGTTCTTCGGGTACCAACGCGCAAAACGCTGTCGGGGGTCGTTTTTCAAGACGCCCGCACGGCGAGCACGCAGAAAGCTGCGAAGAGCATCCCCCCGACGGGGGGAGGGGTCGAAGCAAGGGCGGCCGTCGCAACCGACGGTCACGCGGCAGAGGCTTCGCCCCGTGCATGGCGATTTTTACGGTGGCCGAATGCGAGGAGGGCCCCGCGGGGAAAGGTTTGGGCATGCGCCGTTCCACGGTCGAGGGAAGAGGCAGAACATTCAACTCCATGGACCGAGACGGGAAGCGGATGCTGCGCAGTCGTCGCGGCAGCGATGAACGCTCGCAGAGCCAGTGCGATTCGCGGGGAAAGGGGGCAGAGGGGCAATGCGGCTTTTTCAGCGGCTCAAGAAACGATTGAGGACGCGGGGTGCGTCGATTGGCCCGACCTCGATCCCCCTTCGCCCGGGGCCCTTCTCACCTGCGTTCACCCCCGTTTCGCCCGAAGACTTCATGGGCGTTGGTTGGGGCATGGCCGGTTCCAGCGCCTATGTGACATGCCGCGCCCCGCGGGCCCGTTCTCCTGGCCCTGCGGGGGCGCCGCCCGATCGGGGAAGCCCGCGCGGGCGCCTTATTTTTCTTGCGGACATGGGCTGCTGGATCGGCCGAGGCTGTGCTGGGGCCCAGGAGGCTCAGGGGAAGGCGGATGACTGGAAATCAAGACCAACGAGGAAAGACTCGGATCCAGAAAAGTGGCTCGCGCTTGGGCGAGAGTGCCATTCTGACCGACGGGAGCAAACCGCCGATCCAAAAATGAGGCCCATGCTGCACACCCTCTTGACACACGAAAGCAATCGGACTGTAAACAATATAAGAGAACAATGGTTGACATGTTGTGCGTGCAACAAGACATGCACGCAGAGAGGGCCCCGTATCTTCCGGACGGAGTCAGGGGACAGAAGAGAGTCGTATTCATATTGTTTCATTGTTGTGGAGTCAAGCTACCCTCCCGAAGGTCGGCTGTCTCGCTCACTCCCAACCGCCTTTTCACCGGGCAAGCAGCACCCGAGTCTGAGCACAGGCAGGGGCTACCATCGACAACCAGCGGGAACAAATGCAGACGCCAGCCAGGTGCCCAGCGCCCGCAAGGTGCGCCGCGCGCGTCAGGGTCTGGGGGGGAGACACAAACCCAGCGAATATGGGAAAGTATGGGGAATCCTGTTTGTGTGCATATTTATTTGTGTGTCCCATGGCCCCTTTCAGATGCCAAATCATCGCGGGGCGCCCGCGCGTGCTCTAGTATGTTGTTGTAGTGTGTGTGCGTGTGTGTGTGTGTGTGGCACAGGGTTCTCCCGACCATCCTCTGTCGTTGGGTCCTCGGCTTGAAAAGACAGCGCCGCGTCTCCCACCTCCTCTTCTCCTCCCCCGTCTCCCTCCTCCCATCCCTGCCTTTGCCCTCCGTGCCAGCCAACAATGTCGGCACATCCCTCACACATCTCGTGGCCCGATGGGGAGCTCCACCGAAGGCCCCAGTGGCTGCGTTCGCGCGTGCCCGCTGCACTCATGTCGGCACACCCCGCACACGTTTCGTGGCCCCATAGGGAACTCCACCGAAGGCCCCAGTGGCTGCGTTCGCATGCTTCCGCCGCACCCATTGCGGGACACCTCATAACACGCGTTCGCATGCGCCCGCCGCACCTAGTACGGCCCACCTTCACACGTTTCGTGGCCTCATTGGGGGCTCCACCGAAAACGAGATTCACAATTGCGTTCTTCACAACTGCATTTGCTTGGGTCCTGGTGGCGGTCGGCATGGCCGACCTCCACCAGGGGAAAGTGGGGAAGGTGGGGGTGGGGTCGGCATGGGTCCTGGTCGGCCGCTGGGCTTTTATGGGATAGGTGTATTCATCAATAAAGGTGGACCACTCCCCGAAGAGGGGAATGATGGGTTTGGGAATCTGGCTGATCAAACTCGTTATACCATTTGAGCCCAGAGATGCCGTGGGATCCAGGCATCACCCGCCCAAACTGGGAAGTGGTATGTGTCCAGTCCGCTCGACCGGGGTCGGAGCAGATGGGGTTGCAGGATCGCGCCGCATCGCTGATCTATCGGCGATGCGGCGCGATCTGGACATACAGTGTCTGAATTCCGACGACGCCGATGCATCGCGGTCGTATCGACGCGATGTGGTGCGATCTTCCGACCCACTCACTCTGGCATCATTTTCGGAGGCCTCCCGTTTGGCCCGAGGGTGGGAGTCTGAACCAGTGAGGTCGATTAGGGCGAGGAGGAGGGCCAGAAGTCGGTGGGGGAGGGGAGCGGCTTTGGGGGAGGGAAACGAAGGGGCGCGGGCGGGGGGAGGGGGCACCAGTCGTGGAGGACGTCATGGGGTGTTCGGCAAGCGGGTGCGTGTACGACATGCGGCATGCAGCTGCTGCTTAATCTGGCAGCAGCAACTTTTCTCTATGCATGATTGCCTCCAGCGCCAGGAGGCGCCTGGATTAACAGCTTACGCGCGTGTAGTGTAGCTGGTTAGCTGGCTTAGCAATCCTCTCTTTCCAAGCCCATTTTTCGTCCACCCTGAAACAGGCTCATGAAGCGCCTTCCTTTCTGTGGTCCGAGGATGATGGACTGGAAGCAGGGGGTGGAGCTAGGAGGAAAACAGGGGGAGGGGGGGAGTCAGGTAGGGATATGTGCAAAGAAAGAGGGGCACAACGAGGGAGGGCGGAAGGGACAGAGGCAGGCAAGCGGATGCAGGAGGAGGATAAGGACGCCCCACCCAGAACCCTTGATTAGAGTCCCCTCAGGGCCCCTATGAACTAGCATCTCCAAATCAGATCCTCCTCCTCCTCCTCCTCTTCCTTTCTCTTGCCAACCACTGCTTTAGAAGCTTCCGTACACTCAGAGAAATCACAGACAACATTCATAATTTCAGACAACCGTATGGCAACCTCAGAGAAGTTGTATTGTTAGACCTCCCCTTTCCTCGCCCTCTCCCCTCCTCCCCCTCTTCTTCTGGAGGATCACGTGAAGGAGGAGGAGGGGAGGGAGGAGGAGGAGGAGGAGCAGGAGGAGCAGGAGGAGGAGGAGGAGGACGACGACGAGGAGGAGGAAGAGAGGAGGAAGAGGAGGAGCTAAAGCAGCAAGAGGAGGGCTCTTTGTGAGGCCTGGCGCACTGGTTGCCGAGGGCACCAAGGAGGAGGTGCAGGACGCCATGATCAAGGCTGGGCGCGCCTAGACCTTTTCCTTTCGCTCCTCGAGGGAAGGACTCTGTAGTTGTATATCACATTGCTATTCGTATGTTTAGGGCTTCCTGGGGCGCTCTCGTACGGCCGAATTCCCTTCGAAGCTCTGTCCGAAACACACCCTGGGAGAGTTATGGGGGTCAAGCTCCCAGCTCTCTGACGAGGTTTTTCACGATGCTGGTCCCTGGAGTTCTCGGCCCGGGGCCCTCCTAAGGCCGATGTTTTTTCTTGGCTTGTTCTGGTGGTCCCAGGTCCCCAAACGGAGCTCCGGAAACTGGTTGTTTCGATTTTCTCGCGATGCCAGGTGCATGGGTACGAGGGCAGGCCCCTCTGACCCATGACATTAGGGCGCCGTGAAGAGATTGCGACGACGGACGCTTCTGCCCCGCTTTGGCGGGACACTGAGGACCGAGCCCACACGCAAAATCCCGTGCGCACATATTGGGTCGAGGGCTCCGGTCGAGATGTCCCCCCAATCTCCCCATGATGGGGTTCTTGTTATCCAGGTGCTTGCGGCAGACCCGCCACCGTGCCAGAGAAGCACTACCGTAATTAAGGCCGTCAGATTTGTCACCTCTCTTCTCCTTGGGCCGTCTTGGGGCTATCGTGGATTCCTGTGGGGCAGTCTTGGGGGTCCGCTGGAGCCCTCTTCGGTCGTCTTGGGGACCCTCTTAGGCCATGCCGATCCCCAAGAGGTCCGTCTTGGCGCCATGCTGGCCGTCTTGGGAGGTCTCCTGGGACCGTCGTGGGCCGTGTTGGGGCCTTGAGCCGTCTTGGGGCTTTTTAGGCCGTCTTATAATCCTCCAGTGGCCCTCTTCGTTCAGCTTGGCGCTTTCCCAGTGCCGTCGTGGGGCCCTCTCGGGGCCTTAGGAACCCTCAAGGACCGCAAGTGAACCGATATTGGACCGAGGAGCGTGGACGAAAAAACATTTCCACACGTAAGTGAGATCCATATTTCCGCTTCTCGAGGCCTTTTGGAGCCCTCTTGGGATCTACTCGGCGCCTGCGTCTTTCCTCGTGCGTTCCTTATGCGGGAGCATGCATCAAAACTCTGCCGCCCAGCGCCATGGTCGTTTGACTTAACAATCTACCTCGCTATGAGCTGAGCACCCCCGCCGCTCCCAATTTCCTGACCCGAAGCGGATGACGTCAGCATTGATTCTTTCAGTTTCGCCCCCCCCTCGCCGCGCGCCAGCGTGAGTCTTGCAGCTCTGAAGCGGCGGTCTGTTTCCGAGTCCGACAGGACGCTGTCACCGCCGAGCCCAGAGAAGTGGCACGCCACCCTCGTCCTGGGCGGGCGGGGCCCGCCGCCGCCCCTCCGCGCGCGGGGGCGGAGAGAACGAGAGAGTTGGCCCGTCGTCTGCGGTCGAGCCTGTGGATTGTCAGTCGGAGTCTTCGGATGGCGAGCCCGAAGCCCGAGAGCTCGTTTGCGCGCGTCGGGCAGTCGGGCGCGGGGCGCGAAAAGCGCACGCTCGCTAGAGGTGGGACAGGTACCGCTAAACCCAGGCATCCGCACTGCCCCAGAGTTTCTGAACATGCGCCCGGCAGTAACCACCGTGCAGAGCGTCCCAAATGCATACCCGTGCATTGTATATCATTGCGTAAGATGACGTACCGCGGCAAATACAAGTATGACATGTCATGATTCGGGGCAGCACTGCACGCCATTGCATTGAATAGCATTGAATAGCGTGGTGCACCGTAGCAATGTGTATCATGGCATTGACGCGCGCTGGCGAGTCACAGTCACAGACGTATCGAACGTTGGTGTGAGCCAGGGCCCAGGACCGGTGCACATAGGCCCCTGACGTGGGCAAGGAGAGTGTCACAACCGATCCTCGGCCTTGGCAGCGCCCCGAGGCGTCCATGGGGATACGGTGCAAGGACATGAAGGACGGCAATCTCCACGAGGCTGAGGACCTCGGCGTGGCCGCGCGCAGAAAGGGGGGTGGGACGAGGGAGGTGCCCCCCTGCGAAGCCGTGGGGGCGGGGGGCTCTCCTGAGAGGAGATCGGGGTATTCCGACCAAGCTTCCTTCCCAGAAGGCGGGAGGGCTTTGAGAGGCCTCCTAACCCTCTAGAAGGCCCCACCCCTCAGAGGAGCTGACAGGGGCCAACGGGGGCGGGTGGGGCCGCGGGCACGCAGAAAGACAGGCCGCGTCGCGATCCCGGCCCGCCCTCTTCGGTCGTGGGGGGGGTGAGTCTATTTCGGGGTTGGCCTGCGCGCACTATCCGGTCGCTGTCCGTTTGCAGGATCTCTCCCGTCTCAGAGCGTCGACCTGACAGGCGGGGGGGGAGCCGTTCCGAGACATCCTGGCGGCTCGATTTGTTTCCAGGTGTGGGTCCTGGGACGTCGCGACCTCTGCTCAGGCATGGTGTTCTTCCCAAGTCGTTTTTGTGGACGGTTCCAGGGGCCGAAAGCTCAGATATTATAAAGGGCAACAAAAGGCATCTCGAATTCAGAGGCTCCAGATGTCTGGGGTCAGCCGTTCAATGTTTGTTCAGCTTCTTGGTCGTCGGAAGGCTGGAGAAAGGATGCCTCTGCAGAGATTTCTGGGCCCCCTTAAGACTCTGGCTTCTTCCTACGTCTGTACCCATTCGCCCCCCAGTTGCGCGAGGCGAGCTGACTGGCGTTTCCTTGTGGCGTCTCCGCCTCCCCACAGTATTTCAATTCCGCTTCCGTCGTGGAATGGGGTCCCCAACAGTTTTCAAAGTCACCAGCTCAAGACTGCCTACGCGATAATATTTAATTGCCACTTCTTCTTTGTTACTGCTGCTAGTATAAAGGCTACTTCTGATGTTGCGAGACTTGCTGCTACTGTTGGCACTGCTGCTACCACTACTAGTGATGCTATTGTTGCGATTCGTGCTGCCAGTGCTGCCGAAGCCTCTGTTGGCTGCTGGTGCTCCTGATACTACTGCTGCCACTGCTACTACTGCTGGTGGCTGCTAGTGTCACTGCTGCTGCTACTGCTGCCGCTACCGCTGCCATTTTTGAAGTATCAAGCCTGCGCCCAATACCCGCTCGCATGCTTGTCCCCTATTTGAGTCTACGGGCTTCGGCTTTGTTTGTCGCTTGCTCTTGGCTTCCCTCTGACGCGCCAGAGGAGCATTATGTTCGTGACACTTGCCGACTGATTCTGAAACTATGTGTTCCCCGCCTCCGCCTCTCCCCCAGATGTGTGTTTGTTTCTTTTCCTTTCCTCCAGTTGGTGCCCAGAGGAAGAAACGAGCGGACGAGCACTGCCCGACAAATCGGCGTTGTTTTAGCATGAACGATGTGTGTGCGTGTTTGTAGGATGTGTGAGTGTGTGTGTGTGTCTGTAGAGTGTCTGTGTGTGCGTGTTAGCCTGTCCATGTGTGCGCGGGTGCGTTTGTGCGTGCGCGTGTGTTTCATTATTGTGAGCTCTAGCGAATGTGATGCTCCAACACCCTGTGGCCCCATTGAGCGGGCAGTGATTTGCTTCCGTGGCGCAAGCGGGAAAAAGGTTTTGGCGTCCTTTGAGTGATGGCCGTGCTCCCATGATCCTGTTTGCGGATGCTCATCATTCTCGAATGGTGTGTTGTTTCTGTTGTGTAATTATTTTGGGGTCCGTACTAAGGTGTTATTTTGACCTTGCATTCGTCTTTTTCTATCCCGTGCCAGACTGGGCTATGAGTTCCGTTGCAGGGCCCCCGAAAACCAAGGATGGCAGTTCTATATGTCATGGTGTATGCAATTATTGATTTGTGATGCTTTTGCGGAATACCAGAGGACGTACAGGACGTGGACGCATGGAGAGCGTTCGACGGCGTCGAGAAGACAGAAGATTTGAAGAGTTTCCTCGGCGGGATCGGGCACATGGATTGGTACCAGACGTTGAGTGAAGAGTTCAGTAAACTAGAGATCTTTCAGCGCCCTAGACGGAGGACCCAAGAGGCGCGCGGTTCGAAAGCGGTGAGCAAACAATTTGTCTCTGAGCATCGCACATATACAATCTGGAGTACGAAGCAGGGGGATTGTCAACATGTTAACATATAGTGCATGCGTAGACTTGTCCACCAGTGCATCCAGTTGTTGATTTCTCACACGCTGCCAGATCAGTGCTCCATCGGCATCTGCAGATCATGCCCTGCAATTCGAACGCATCTATATTGCATGTGAGGTTCCTCGTGCACGGGCCATGATTGCCAGCGTGTCGTTCGCTTTGCCCCCGATTGCGAGGCAGCTGTTCCCTCGGAGTTCGCGCCCAGGTGGCAACTCATGGGAGGTCACGCTCAGCATCGGCACTAGCGGTTCCTTCGGTCAAATTCCGTTTGGCCCAGCGCAGTGTGGCCTAATCTGGCTTGATAACTCTCCTGTCGGGCTTGACGGCCTTCAAGACATCCCAGCGGTTTTCTCTCAGCCTTGGCCACACGCGGGTGCTCGATGATGATCGCGCGCCGGGCCGGAGCCGCTCCCTCCTCCCCCCTCCAGTCCTCCTCCACCTCCTTTCCCCTCCTCCTCCTTCCTGGCCGGAGGCGGGGCCACCTGTCGAGGGCTTCCAGTTCTGAGAAGGGCACCTGCTGTGTCAGGCGTTGGCATCGGCTCTCGTCCTCGGGTGGCACGGTGGTCTCTCGCGAGGCTGGCCCGCGTTTTAGAATCCGTCTTTAGAGCCCCCTCTCTTTCTCCAGTCCTCTGCCTCTTTCTCCTCCTCGTCTCTGCTCCCAGGTCTCTCCTCCCAGATCTCTTCGCGCTGAGAAACATCATGACTTGCTGTTTTGAGCATAGCTTCCGGGAGCCCTGACCGGTGAAACGATTCGGGGTGAAAAGCCGGTCCCTCGGAAGGGGCCGAGACAATTGAAGGTCCAGGTAGGTTTCGTGATTAAGTGACGTCGCCGTTCGGTCCTCCGCCGCCGCCTCCCGTCTCTCCATCTTCCTCCACCTCTGTTGCCTCTTTTGCGTCATCCTCCCTCCCTCTTCCCTTCCCCACCCCTGCCCCTCCCCTTTCTACAGGACTCTTGGCATGGCCGCGTCTTCGCCGGCTCGTCGGCGGCGCTGCTGATCCGTCTCGTTCCCGCCTACGCTTTCGCAGCATCAGCAGCCACAGGAGGTGGGCGACCGAGGTTGCGGGCGATTGCGGCGGCGGCGACGAGCTAATTAGCCGCCGCCCACCGCCCGCCAGGAGCTGCGTGTCCCCGCGCCCAGGGCGTACGCGAGCGGCCAGAGCTCCCAGCTGCGGAGGCCCCCTCGCCGCCACCCCCGTTCTTGCTGCTTCGGATGCTTCGGACCAAAGATCGAAGTTCGAGGGCCGAAAATCGAGGTTCGACGGGCGAGGGTTCCAGAATCCAAGGTTCGAGGGTCGAGGATCTACGTCTTCGGGTGTGTCGGATCGAACATTCAGATCTGCGATTGGGTTCGGCCCCCACGTAGGCCTCCCGGCACCCCATGATGCCATAAGCTTGTCTTTCAAGCACCGCGTTTGTCATGTTTTGTTGGCAGTATGTTCCGAGCATAACATATGCAGTACGATTGCGAAGCTACTTCACGTGGTGTTAGCGTTGGAACTATCGCCGACTTCATGCCATTGCTTCATATCGGCATGCTGTGTTTCATCAAACTAACAAAAAGCACGCGCAACAACGTAGGACCGCCATACGAACATCAGCCACATGCGTCATCACACCTCACGGGCGTGTTAGAAACGTTCGCGTGTACGCATGCCATTCAAACCGAAGGGCCCAGATCCGAGGTGTACTCGGCGCAATGCGCGACCGCACATGGCACGCACTAGCATATTGGCATAATGCGCGCCGAGGTGTAGAATTCCGAGTTGACAAAACCGATGGGCGCGTCAAGCGAGCAAGAGTTAATCCATGTGCGTTGTTCGACTTGCGCAGCCGGCCCTCTCGCAAGCACCTTTGTCGGCAGTTGCGCGGTAGCGCGATAGCGCGGGGTCTGATCCTACAAGGGACACGCACTGAATGGTCAGACCCAGGTTTCGTGTCCAGGGCAGTGCTGCTGGAACCGCCCGAGTTCGTCGGTGCGTGAACAGGGAGGCAAATGCAGCACATGCCTCGCGCCCCCCTTCCCGCGCGGCGACGGCGCGCGAACGGATCGGTTGGATGGCCCGCGCGCGGGGCGGGCGGGCGCAGCGGGCGCTGCAGCTCCCGCGCCATTCACTCGAAAGGTGTTCGTTCTGGTCGAATTTGAACTGGCGCATGGGCCCGTTGTGTTCCCACGCGGGGCTCCCCGGGCGCGTTTGAATTTCGAATTTGCAGCGCCGTCCCCCCGCGACGCCCGCCCCGCTCTTCCCCTCCATCGACGCTCGCGGTGGGAGATCGCGTGGGGTCGCCGCCGCAAGTTGGACCGCGCCTCGATATCCCGTGCGCGGGCTACAAACTTCGCCTTGCGCCAGGCTCTTGCCGATGGTACCGACAGCTCTCGCCAATTCTACCGGCGCGCGAAACTCTCGCGCGTTTCTCGGTCGCGAGCCCAAGTCCCGCCAGTAAATCTCGCCGCCCACATCTCCCATCTCGACGTGCGGTGAGTTTTTCTGCCACGGGCGATATCGTTCAGCCTCTTCAGGGTGCGACCCCCGCTCGAGCTCGATGGGCCTGACCCCCAGGGGTGCACGTCCTGGGCAGGCGGGGCGGCGGCGCGCGCGCGGCGGCGGCGGCGACGGCGGCGCGGGGGTGGGTGGGGTGGGGGGGCGCTTGCGGGCCCGAGCGTCGGTTCGCTGCCCGCGGCACTTTGCGCCGCGTACAGTGCTTGGGCCCGAGTGCGAATGCAAAGCGGAACAGAAAGGTTAGGGCGAGGACATGGTGATGGCGAGGGAATGACGAGGGCGACGATGGGGGCGCGCAGGGAACGGATTGGGGGCGCGACGATGATCGTCAGCGCGAGGAAGGGGGCGCGAGGTTGATGATATGGAGGGCGCTTGAGTTAATGATCAAGAAGATAGTGGAGGAGCGGATGGCCCGATGAAGAATGCGCCGCGGGGAGTGGGCATTTGCGAACTGGAACAAGAGCAACCACCGACTGGACGATCAGACAGGACAGGGCCGCCGAGCGCGGTGAAGAGCGCGACCGGCAAGCCAGCCCCGCCCACAGTCGTCCAGGTGGAAATTATATAGTTGGCAGCCGATGCGCCCGCCGCTCGCCATCCGCCCCATCCCCTCGCCCCGCCCCACCGTGCATCTTGCAGACTTTGCCGCCCCCTATTCTCGCCGCGCGCCCTCTCCCGCCTGGCCCGCCACCTTCCAGTTTGATCCGTTGGCTTCCCGTGCCGCCCCCTCCCGCGTCGGCGGTCTCCTCGTGCTCGCACCCTTTGACCACTCGTCCGCATCCCCTCTATGTTCCTCACAGCCCTCGCCCTCGCCATCCGACCATTTCTCCTCGTGCCCAACCTGTCCCTCATCATCGCCCTCGCCCTGCCCACCGTCGCCCCCGCCCCCCCCTTCGCCCGCCCCCTCGCCCGCGTCGCCATCGCGCCCTCTAACAATTCTCCTTTTCCTCCCCCTTCCTCCGCCCCCCCTCCCCCCCTTCCCTCCTTCTCCTCGCGCATCGCTGCCGCCCTCGCAAGAAGTCGCTTCCTCCGTCTCAATCGTTGCGCGGATTCAGGCACCGCGGGCGCTGGCAACGTCGGAATGCGTCGCCGCGCGTTCCGAGAGCGCGTGCGTTCGAATCGCGCCACCTCGCGGCCCATCGGCCGACCGCTGACGCCGACGATTGTCGCGCGCTGATTCGCGCAACCAGCCCTCGACGCCCCTCTGCGCCCCGTTGCTGCCGCGTTGCAGCCCCGAGCCATCCGCGTCGACGCTCGCCCGCCGCCTCCCCGCTAGCCTGTCGCGCGCGGCGCGCGCAACTAGGGGGCGCCGACGAGACGTCGCGCGCAATTCCGCGGACCCCCCCCCGCCCCGTGGAAGAGCAGGCTCGGCAGAGCCGAAATTCGTAGCATTTTCGGTGCTGCGCTGGGCGGCGCGTAGGGGACAGCACAGCGCCGCACAAGACAGACCGGCTCGGCAGACCCGAGGCCCGAGTGTGCGCGTAGCCTCCCGCGTGCCGAGGTCGAGCGCAACGGTCTGGACGTCTGCACGCCCACGGTGGACGCAACAAAGTAGCGCCAAGCTTTGTTGGCTGGGTTCCTACGACGGTGAATTCTTCAGTGCCGGCCAGATGTTTCCGGAGGCCTCTCCAGGAACATGTTGTTTTTTTTGTTTTTCTGCCACGTTCGGAGGAAAGCCTTTGAGTTTTGAACGGATGCAAATCCTCCCCCAGAGCATAACAGCCGTGACACGTCGTGGGGAGTAAATGCGGTGACGTCAACCCGGCCGGCTTAGGATTTCCACAGTTTGCGTCGATGTCTGTATGCACGTGGGCTCGACACATTGTGTTTGCTTGCAGGCGCGGGAGTGCGTAGCAATGCCAGCTCCGCGCATGCAGCGCCAGAGGTGCGATGTAATGTCGCCTCTGGTCTGAGCTCTGCCAGGGGCGTGTAGCAACCTCGCCCTCGGCAAGGGGGCAGCTTATGTCCGTGTCGCAAGCCCTCCACTCAGTTGCCCAGATTGTACAACAGTGTCAGTGATATCGACAGATACTTTGGTGTGTCGAGCGCCCCGGACCCAAACCAGAAATAACGGAAGTCTGAAACAGCCACTCCCATTGAGCAGAGAAGAGGCCATCATAGCATTATCAAGCAGTGGCGAAGCGTATTGGTTCGCCTAAAGCCCTACCGAACAATGTTCTAAGAACCTTTTGTGGATCCCACGAAATGTTCTTAGAACATGTCTGGCGGAGTCTGTCTTGTTTGAACACATCGGGTTTTTGTTCTAAGAACACTGTCTTTGTTATTCGAACATTTTTGGGTTCTAGGAGCATTTCGTGGTAGGACTATAGGAATGCCGGGACGGTCGGTCCCTGCTCAATATTGGCAGATGCTGTTGATGGAAGGTGGGTTCCAGAGGAGCCGCAGTTCATCGAGTAGAGTCAGGACCAATGTCGATGTGTTTCGACCCCTACTTGACGTACTTTACCACCTGTCGTTGACGCATCTATTATGCAGCGTCCTCCGAACCGCTCGAAGCAGATGAGGATGCAGCTGGCACTGGTAGCCTTGGTGCCTCTGAGGATGGCGACAGCAGGCTGACCACCTTCGCTGCGGTAGGTGTCTGAGGCGCTGTGATCCAAGTCTTGACGACCAGGATGTATTTCCTCCCCGTCGGTGGTGGTGATGCTCCAGGAGGCGATCCGGGAGGGAGGGGCGCCTTCGGTGGTGCTTCTCGGTGTTGGGTTACCGCTTTGCGTCTTTCATGTCCATCGCGCGACGAGTCTCAGTTCTTCTTCTCATCGACCCTGTTGTTGACAAGTTCCGTCAGTATGATCTTCCCAATCACGTCGTGCTCTTGTTGCATCCAGTCTGTAGTAAGATCCTTCATCTTGATGTCGATGCGGCCTATGTTGCCCATCGCCTGGTCCATCGCATCTCGAGCTGCTTTGAGTTGCACCCGAACTTGCTGTGTGAGCAGATGCATGTACAGATCTCGTTATCCTCCTTCCTGCACTTCTGTCTCGAGCTCTGGATAACAAGTACCACATCGCATGAGATGTCAATCCTCGACCAACTATATCTCTTGAAGTTATTGGCAATTTTCGTGTCGGTTGGTGGCTCTGCTCAAGAAGGAAGGTTGCAAGCGTAATGCGTCGTGCACGCCATGATCTGTGCCAATACTGTAGCCCGATCCTTACACATATGTGTTCATTATTCTATAGGCTTACGCCACATCCGCCGACCCCTATATAAGGTACTGCGCCTCCAGGACTGCATTTCACGAGGCTTGTCCGAATCATGACATGGCGCTCGACATCGTTCCTGTTGCTTCGATGCTGTTATCGTACCTCTTGGTGCTCTTTTGTGGCCTCTTGGTGGCATCTTGGCCTGTCTGCAGGCCATATCCGGCCGCCTCGAGGCATCTTGGGCCAAGTTTGGGGGCCTCTTTGGGGCTTCCTGGGGGCTTCTTGGAGGCCTTTGAGGTTCTTTTGGGGGTCCCTCAGGGCCTCTTGGGCTGTTCTTGGGGCAGGCTGGGGGCGTCTTGGGGCCGAAGGCTCGAACAGGTGTCGTTTTGGGGCCGTCTGGGGGCCCTCTTGGGCTGTCTTGGGGGCTTCGGGGGCTGTTGTTGGACCCTCTTCGACCCTTCTTGGGGGCCCCTTTGGCCGTCTGGGGGCGATATTGAAGGTTTTTTTGCCCGTCTGGGACGTTGTCCTGTAGCCCGATCCTTACACATATTTTTTATATACGTATAGATCACGCTTGTCCTGCTCCGTGCGCTCGTCCTGCTTCAAGTTATTGTGGCGCGCCAGGTGGTCCTCCACTTCAGATTAGAGCTTCGTCGATCCTCTCCTGATTCTTATTACCACAATTGATACTTCCAGTCTGAGCCACGAGTCGCCAAATGTTTCGAGTGATGGCGACGCAGTGCTCCTGGAGCGGCGTGTGGGCGAAGTCGAACGCGGGCCTGGGCGCGCTTGGCGCGGGCTCGGTGTGCTAGGCCGCTTCTGGCTTCTTTGCCGTGGACTTCGGCGCGGGTGGAACCGCGCTTCCTCAGCACGGCGGTCGCCGCGGGCTGCCGCCGCCGCGAGGGGCCGCCGACGCGGCGTGGGGTGTGGCGGGTCCTCCCCAGCGCGTGACTTTTATGGCGGTAGCCGCGTTGCCGTCGCCCGCGCGTGGGCCAGCCGTGCGCGCGGCAGTCCTACCCCGAGCTGGCAGACGGCTCCTTCTCCTCCTCCTCCTCCTCCTCCTCCTCCTCCTCCACCACCTCCTCGTCCTCTCTCCTCCTCCTCTTCGTCCTCCGTCCTCCCTCCCTCCTCCTCATCCTCCTCCTCCTCCTCCGCTTCTCCCCCTTGGGTAGGCTGCTGGAGCGAGGTTGGCGCCCGAAGAGGACCCTCACAGAGGCGAGGCCGCCGCAGTGGTGGAGAGCTCGGGGTGGGCAAGAGGGGCGACGGGGAGGACCTCGGGCGACGGGGAGGTGCGATGGGAGAGGGGGGGGGACGCTGGGGGGGGGGGTAGAGGGGAAACAGGTTTGGGGATTGGGAGGGGGGATCGGAGGGGATATTGATTGCAGGGGGTATTCAAAGGAGGGGGAAGTCAAGAGGGGGGAGAAGGGGGGGGACGGGGGCGGACCTGGCCAGAGGCGTGGTGCGGGGAGTGAAGGGAGGGGGGGGGCACGTGCAAGGGGAGCTGCTACGATGCCCCGAAGCGCCTGCCAGCCGCGTCGCCGCCAGGAGTCCAGGAGCGTGATGCTTTTCAGGGTTCCTGAAAGCAAGTCGCTGCAAAACATGTTTTTGGACAATTTCAGCTGGAGGGGGTGACGAGAGGAGAATGTTTCGGTCCACGGCCGCATTTTTCTCGGGCGCGCAAGCATCCTGGTTTGTTGAAGTCCCCGTCTACGGAGCCCTGAATTTGGCGCTTTGTTAGACAGACGATGCATTATTGTTTCGAGTCCTCAGGGGGGGTCGTGCAGATGTCCTCCCCCCTGCTGCAGACCACGGGTCAGTCGATTGCGCGTTGATTTGGCGCGCCCCGTCAGTACAGAACAGGCCGACGATTCGTCGCCACGGCGGAGGAGAAGTCTCTGTATTCATGCCTGTTTCTCGCTCTCTCTCTCTCTCTCTCTTTGTTTATTTCTTTTTTTTTTTGTTCTCTCTCTCTCTCTATATATATGTGTGTGTGTGTGTGTTTCCCCTTTCCCTGCCTGGCAAGCTCGTCTCCGGAAGGCCGCTTCGCTCTCGGCGGGCCTACCTGCCCAGGAAGAGGTTCTTCGCCGCTGCCTCGTGCGCATTCCAAACGCACTCCAGGCTGGCGCGGGCCACACCCCACGCGAACGCTCGCCGCACAGTAGCGCTGCACTGTGGCCGCCTTCTGTGGCTTCTCTACTGAGTCGTGTTGCAGCTCGCATCTTGCGGTCACACGCCGTGAGCGCTTTGGGCTGCTGTCTAAATGCTCAGCCCTCTGCCACTTGTGGAGCGGAGTCACGCGCGGCGCTAGCACCCGCGGCCGCGGAGGGACCGTCGTCCGATCGTTTTTTGGTTTCTATTTCACTCTCTTTCTCTCTCTCTCTCTCTCTCTCTCTCTCCTCTCTCTCCCTATGTCTCTTTCTTTGTTTATCCCGCTTTATTTCTTTATTTATTTAATTGAACGCCTCTGAGGGGGCAGACACCGCCGCCCCACTTTTTTTGGAACGCGGAGGTTGCGTGGGGGGCAAATCGGGATGTAGCGGGTGTGTTCACTCAGCTTTGGCTGGGCTTTTGTTAAGTGGGGTCTTAAAGACTTTCAGAAAGCCCCAAGAGAGCCGGACAATTAGTTTACAAAGACGCCAGATTGGACAATAAGGTCTCAGAGGGCCTGGAAAAATACGAAAGTGGGGTCTTGGAGGCTTTCTGAAAACCCCAAGAGAGCCAGAACATGACATAATCACCAGACAGCTCGCCCCTTGGCCCCCCGCCAGCCCCACGCAAAGGGGCGAGCATATATACGGGCGCAGTACCGCGCTGGATGCGTAGCCGTCGGCTGGGCCAACCAAGCGAATGACGCATCGCGTGGCTGCTGGATGCCCGCGCCGAGCACAGATATTCTCGGTTCCTCCCTCCTCCTTCTCCTCCTCCTCCGCGGGCTTAAAACTGCCATCGAAATATCCTCACCCGCTGGCTTAAAACTACCACCGAAATATCCTCACCCGCGGGCTTAAAACTGCCACCGAAATATCCTCACCCGCTGGATCAAAGCAGCCACAGGAATATCCTCACCCGAAGGCTTAAAGCTGTCACCGAAATATCCTCACCCGCTGGCTTAAAACTGCCGCCGAAATATCCTCACCAGCTGGCTTAAAACTCCTTCCGAAATATCTTCAACCGCCGGCTAAAAATTGCCACCGACCTATCCTCACCCGCTGGCTCAAAATTGTCACCGAAATTTCTTCACCTGCTGGTTTAAAACTGCCACCGAAATATCCTCACCCGCGGAAATAAAACTGCCACCGAAATATCCTCACCCGCTTTCTTAAAGCCGCCACCGAAATATCCTCACCCGCTGGGTTGAACTGCCAGCGAAATGTCCTCACCCGCTGGCTTGAAACTGCCACCGAAATATCCTCACCCGCTGAAATAAAACTGCCACCGAAATATCCTCACCTGCTGGCTTAAAACTGCCACTGCTCGATCAAACTCGATAACACATTCATGACACCTCATGCTATCGAGGTGTCATCGAGTGTTATCGAGGTGCTCTCGAGCGTTATCGAGCTCGATCACACTCGCTAGCACCTCGATAACATCTCGAACACATTTCGAAAACATATTATCGACGTGTTATCGGGTGTTATCGAGGTGTTATCGAGCGGGTGATGGCCACCCGCTGGCTTAAAACTGCCACCGCAATATCCTCACCCGCTGGCTTAAAACTGTCACCGAAATATCCTCACCCGCGGGAGTAAAACTGCGACCGAAATATCTTCACCCGCTGGCAGAAAACTGCCGCCGAAATTTCCTCACCCGCTGGCTTAAAACTGCCACCGAAATATCCTCACCCGCTGGCTTGAAACTGCCTCCAGATTATCCTCACCCGCTGGCTTAAAACTGCCACCGAATTATCCTCACTGCCACCGAAATATCCTCACCCGCTGGCTTAAAACTGCCGCCGAAATATCCTCACCCGCTTACTTAGAACTGCCACCGAAATATCCTCACCCGCGGGAGTAAAACTGCGACCGAAATATGCTCATCCGCTGGCTTACAACTGCCGCCAAAATACCCTCACCCGCGGAAATAAATCTGCCACCGAAATTTCCTCACCCGCTGGCTTAAAACTGCCACCGAAATATCCTCACCGGCTGGCTTAAACTGCGACCGGAATATCCTCACCCGCGGAAATAAACTGCCACCGAAATATCCTCACCCGCTGAAGCACCGAAATATCCTCAATTGCTGGCTCAAATCTGCCACCGAAATTTCCTCACCCGCCGGCTTAAAACTGCCACCGGAATATCCTCACCGGCTGGCTTAAACTGCTACCGGAATATCCTCACCCGCGGAAATAAACTGCCACCGAAATACCCTCACGCGCTGAAACACCGAAATATCAATTGCTGGCTCAGAACTGCCACCGAAATATCCTCACCCGCTGGCTTGAGACTGCCACCGAAATATCCTCACCCGCTGGCTTAAAACTGCCACCGACATATCCTCATACGCGGGCTTAGAACTGCCACCGAAATACCCTCACCCGCTGGCTTAAAACTGCTACCGACATATCCTCACCCGCGGAAATAAAACTGCCATCTATCGGCCTGGTGGTTCAGCTCAGTTCAGTTCAGTTACGGGCTGCGCCCGTAAAAAAAAAAAAAACGCCAGAAAGCCGTAAGAGAGTCTGAACATGATTTTAAAAGGACGCCTGAGGGTGCGCAGAAGTGTAGACGAAAGGAAGAGGCATACGGAGAGGCGTACAAACGAGATCCGAGTTAGTTTGGGGGCCTCAAAAGGGACTCCGGGGACCCCCTGGGCGCGCCCAGGACGGCCCAAGAGAACCCCAAAAATGCTGCCAGACGGCCCAGGCCGGGGTCGGGAGGCGTGGAGGACAACCGCAGAGAGCGCCCGCTGATTCCAACGCGCTTCCAAGAGCCCGCGAAGACGCACGTGAGCTCGAAACGAGGCAAGAATAGAGGCTCGACAAGGTCAGAATGGACATTGTCATATGTGTTTTACGAGGTTTTTTTGCGTGTTGTTTTTTGTAGTCGAAGTGGGCCGAGGAGAGGTGGGCGGGCTGCCAGACTGGACCAAAATGGCTTGGAGGACGGCCGAGATCGCCCCAGGGGAGCGTCTGGAGGCCTCCAAAATCGAGTCGGTGAGCTCCCGGAGAGGCCTCTGACAGAGGCCGGCGGCGCCTAGAAGACGAACATTTCCAACGAGGTGTGTTCTGAACCGAAAATGATGGCCGAAGAGCGCTCATTCCGCAGCTGTGGCCCCCGGGCCGGCGGAATGAGCAGGCCGCGGCGAGGGCCCCAGGAGGGGTTGCAAGGGCTTTGAGGAATGGGTATGGGTACGAGGAGTTCGTGCGCGCGCAGATTGAGGGGACTGAGTTCGCGCAGACCATGCGGCGGGGATCTCGCGCGCCCTTCCCGGCGGGGCGGCGGGTCGCTTGGCTCATTCCGCCGGCCCTAGGGCGCTATTTGGGGCCTCTTGGGGCCGTCTTGGGAGCTTATTGGGAGCGTCTTGGGGCTCCTTGGTGGCATATTGGGCTCCCCTGGGGCCTCTTGGGGGGCTCTTGGGGGCCCCTTGGGGCGGGATGGGGGGGTAGTCGATTGCGGCCGCCCCTTCGGAGGCCACGATCCTCGTGAGGGGTGGCGAAAAATAGCCCCCCCCTGGGGATCGCCTGGGGGTCAGCCAGGGATCGGCCGGGGTACTTTTCGTCCGGGCCCCCCCTTGGGCCGACCCGCGCGCGCGAACTAGAAATATTGTTACGTAGTTACCGGAGATCTTAGCACGCCTCTGGCTCTATGGGCCAGCGAATGTATGCATCAATGTATGTATCTTTCCCTCTCCCTCCCTCTCCCTTCTCGCTCTTTCTCTCTTTCTCTCTCTCTCTCTCTCTCTCTCTCTCTCTCTCTCTCTCTCTCTCTCTCTCTCTCTCTCTCTCTCTCTCTCTCTATATATATATATATATATATATATTTCTCCCTCTCTCTCTCTCTCTCTCTCTCTCTCTTCCTCTGTTCGCACTCTTCGCATTCATACATGCCCTTGTGTTTGTCTTCTCTGCCTCTCTATTCTCTGCCGCCTCCTCTTGAGCTCGGGATGCCGCCAGTGTTTCAGCGAGGTCACCTTGGTGTGATTGGATTGCATCGTGGTTGAGAAGGGGACGCAAGTTTTAGCTTCGAGTGCAGCCTGCGACTGGGCACGTGTGCAAGTCGCAGTCGGGCGTGCGACGAATGAATCGGGCACTAGCTCTAGCCTTGGACCTTGACCTTGCTTTAGCAATGGCTTTATCCATAGCGTCAGCATTGATTCGTACTCGTTTATAAGTGGGTCCTAGTTTAGTAGTTGAGTTTATCAAGAATTTCAGGTCACCTGTACGTTTGATTTTCCGTTGCGTGCATGCTCCCTCCAATAGGAAGACGCGAACACGTTGATTTCCCCGTCCAGGCCTTCACATAGCAGTGGTTTCAGCAGCTTGCTCACGTCCCAAGATTGAGGGGTCGTCGACTATCTACTTCATCGATCCTGGCTGCAAGGTAGTTGTAGATGCCCAGGCCAAACCAAGCAGGCGTATACACCGATCTTGGGGTCCAGGTGGTCCGGCCAGGGTCGGCGAGACAGATGTGCTTAGTGTCGCCCGAAAATTCGCCGCCGCTTGCCGCAGGCTTTGCTGGGAATCCTCGAGCCGAGCAGCGCGCCTTTCCGCTTCAGGGAGCTCGGCGACGGTGGGCGCAGCGCTCTTCCCCTCTGCCCACTCTCTCCATAGCGGTTCGGAGCGCACCCGTCTATGGAGAATATCGCGCGCAGGGCGGGGAAAAGGCGCGGGACGGTACGCCGAGAGCAGGCATTCTCGATCTTCGTCCTTCGCCATCCTCCTCGATCGGATCGGCCGCGCAAGGATGCGCACCAGTGCCAAATAAGCATCGGACCGATTCTTTACATGCACCACATCGCCTGGCACTCACCCAGACGTGAGTGCCAGGCGGCACGGTACTCGTTCCCTTCCTCGTTCCCTACCTCCCTTCCTCCTCCATCTCCCCCTCCCTTGTGCGCATTCCCGCGCGCGTTCGTGGCAGAGGGGGGAGCAGTGTTGAGAAAAGAGGAGAAAAAGGAAAGGGAGGATGGAAGGTTGTGGGAATGATGAGAGGACTGAAGAGCGACGTCCACTCCGCCGTCGGTAGCCCGTTGAGGTCGCAGTGGTCTGCCAGCGATGGCGGTGAATGGGTGTGGGCATGTATCATTACGCAATGGACGTGTAGACGACGCTGGGCAGCCCGCTGTACTTCGACGCGGGGGAATTCGTGACGTACGCTTTTGCGGACACGCGCCCGGCCACTTTTGCGGAGTGCAGAAGCTCCGCGTTGGGGCGCCGCTCATGGTGCCCAAGACCATGGTGCCAAAATTGCAGGGTTTTTGAGCACCGGCCCGGGCAAGTGTGAGGTGGCCCTCACTGGCGGAAACGCCTCCGACGTGTCTCTGGGCAGCTGCCCGCCGGGCTTCCGCCTCCACGCCGATCGCAGCTTCGAGCTGCTCGGCGCGCCAGTGTGGGACGCGGACTTTTGCGCGGATGGGTATTCCGTCGACGGGGAGCGTACCTGCCCAGAACTGTGCGTCTTGGTCGACGGCGAGGTCCGTGAGTGCGTCATGGATCTTGTCGCGAGGTGAATTGCCTCGTGGCGCTGCTTCCGGTTCGTCCTCACCGTGCGGTCGCCCTTCGCGATTGAGCTGCGGTGGCCACTGCGGCGCCCGCGCGAGCTGCCGGGCGAGGCCGCATTCGGCGGTGAGGCAGACAAGCGGACGCCGTGGTCCCACTCGTGCTGGAGCCGTTCGGGCGCCTCGGGCCAGCGGCGCTGCAGCTGCTCGCTGCGCTGCACAAGGAATCGGCCGAGTGCGCCCCGTCTTCTCCCGGGGACAGGGCGCGCGACGGTGCTGAGCTTGCGCGCCTTGCGCGCCGAGCTGGAAGCGGCCGTCGTGCGCGGGTCCGCGCAGCAGCTGCTGACGGCGCTGGGCAACAGCGCGGTCCAGACGCTTGGGTGGCCCGCTCGAAGCGCTGCCCAGCCGGCGCGGCGGCGGCGCCGCGCGGCGGCACGGCAGGGCGCCAGGGCCATCTGGCTCGCGAGCAGTGAGTTCGGCATGCAGGATTAACGGGACATTGGCGCGCAAGCTTGCTCGAGGGAGGGAGGGAGGGAGGAAGGGAGCAGGGAAGGATGGAGGGAGGGTCGGAGGGAAATCTCTTGGCTCTGAGAGGCATCGCTCCTTCGCGCATGCCGATGCTATTGGTGCGATGCGTGCCAGTGACCCCCTCTCAGCTTGGATGGTGCCGTACGTAAACCTGCGGGGCACAGGAGGGCCGAAGCTCCACAGTGCCCTCGACCTGCAGGCAGAAGCACACTGGCTAGGTCGGCAGGCCCTGTTGCTCGAGGTCGCACTGAAGTTCGAAATGCACGAGCCGCGACTCCTTCTCGACGGAGCGCCCCTCGGCCTCGATGAGGCTGTCGGCGGACCTGGCAGGCTGCCTTGAGAGTTCATCTTGGTCCTGCTGCGCCTCCTGCTGTGCTCTCTCTCTTTGACTTTAGATGAAGCTCTCCGCGCCCTCTTTGTCCGTGGTCCCATCCTGAATATCACGCGCCATGCGCTGCGGCACCTCCTGGATCACCGTCTGGGCCTTCTGCATCTGTTCGGCCTGAGGCTCATGTGCGACCTTTTGGTGCAGTATCACTTCGAGGATGGCCAGGCTGTGCACGTCCTGGGACTCATCCGGACACTCATGCAATGCCTTCTTGTTCTCGTCTTGGTCCCTCTGCGTATACAGCTCCTCCCTGCAAGTCTCGAGCCGCTGCGCGGTGACCGCCACCATGGGCAGTCCGCAAGGCCTTGAAATCCCAGGCGGCGGCGCGTGCCGCGCCTGGTTGCCGTGCGCCAGCAAGCTCTCGGCGTCAGCGAGATCACACACGGGTATGTGCAGCAGCCGAGCTGCCGCGATGACGCCATTGATTGCATCATTGAGTGCCCAGTTCCGAGTGTGTCCTCAGGGTAGTCCTCAGCGTTTTGCAGCGCTCGGCCAACGCCGAAGCGCCAGAGTGGCCGTGCCTGACACAAGCTTCCCTGCGCAGACGCCGCGCCAGCGTCCGCGCGTTCGTCGACGCCCCAACTTTGGTGCCCCTGTCAGCTGGCACGCGGAGGCGCGCCGCCGGCGCGCCGTGAGGGCCTCCGTGAGCCGGCCCACTTGAGCCAAAGTGGTTCCGGAGGGGGCAGGGAGGGACGGAGGGAGGGAGGAGGGAGGAGAAGGAGTGTCTGAGCGGAGGGGGGAGGAGGGAGCTCCTCTCCAGGCCTCGGCGCACTCGAGCTCTTCAGGTCCCGGGCCCCGGAGCTCCCAACCCCTCCCCGGGGATCCCGCGCTCACCGCCTGGGGATTCCGCGCCTCTGAGCTGTCGGCCCCTCACCGTTGACGGCCCCCCGGGCCCAGGAGCGGCCTCGGGGCGCCGGGCAAACTGTGCGGAAAGACTCTGGCACAGTCTGCTGGCGTCGCCAGAGGACCCGGCCTCCCTCCTCGCCCGCCGGCGCGGTGGGGCAGGTCGCCCCGGCCTGCTGCTCCAGAACGTGCTCTTCAGCCTCGGCGACGGCCCTGCCCAGGTTTTGGTCGAGTGGCCGGTTGGTCCGCGGGGGATCGGTTGAATACGTGCATCTCCTCTCCTCTCTTCTCCTCCCTCCCCGTTCCGCCTCGGTGTCTGCATCTTCGCTTCTGCTTCTCCCTCTCCCGTCCTTCGCCCCCTTTTCTGCTCATGGCTTCAGCCTCCTCATCCTATTCCATGCCCCCTTCCACCTCCTGAACCTCCTTCATCCTCCACCATAGCCATTTTGGCTCTAGTCATTTTGGCTCTAGCCACTTTGCCTCATGCCATCCACCACCGGATGAACGTTTTCTTGCCCAAGTTCGTTCGTAATGCCTTGTGGTTGCGGCTGGGGGTCTCTGGCCAGATAAACTATAGTCACGAGTTGAAACGTTTTGAACTCAGATTTCAAACCTTCAACTTTGTATTTCAAAGTACTCTGTTTGAAATCTAGGTTTGAAAATTGTCAGTTATCCTACAACATTGAACATTTTGAATATTCCTTTCGATGGTTTCCGTTTCCGTGGTTTGTGGGGTTCGGTGTCCTTTTCCCGTGGTTTGTGGGGTTAGGTTTCCGTTTCCGTGTCCGTGGTTTGTGGGGTTAGGTTTCGATTTAAATTGTTTCAGCCATCCTACAATATTGTGCATTCTAAAGTTTCTTTTCGACGGTTTCAGTTTCCGTGGTTTGTGGGGTCGGTGTCCGTTTCCGTGTTTTGTTGGGTTCGGTGTCCGTTCCTTTGGTTTGTTGGGTTCGGTTTCTGTTTCCGTTGTTTGTTGGGTTCGGTTTCCGTTTCCGTGGTTTGTTGGGTTCGGTTTCTATTTCCGTGGTTTGTTGTGTTGGGTTTTCGTTTCCGTGGTTTGTTGGGTGTTGTTTCAGTTTCCGTGATTTGTTGGGTTCTGATTCCGTTTCCGTGGTTTGTTGGGTTCGGTTTTCGGTTCCGTGGTTTGTTGGGTTCGGTTTCCGTTTCCGTGGCGCGTTGGGATCGTTTTTTTCTGTGGTTTGTTGGGTCCGGTTTCCGTTTCCATGGTTCGTGTGGTTTTGTTTCTTTTTCATTGGTTTGTGGAGTTCGGTTTCCGTTGTTGTGGTTTGTTGGGTCCGGTTTCCGTTTCCGTGGCGTGTTGGGTTCGGTTTCCGTTTTTGTGGTTTGGTGGTGGTTTGTTGGGTTTGGTTTTCGTTTCTTTGGTTTGTTGGGTTCGGTTTCCGTTTGCGTGGTTTGTTGGGTTCGGTTTCCGTTTCCGTTGTTAGTTTGTTGGATTCGGTTTTTGTTTCCGTTGTTTGTGGGGTTCGGTTTCTTTTCTTTGTTAAGTTTGTCGGGTTCGGTTTCCGTTTTTGTGGTTTGTTGGATTCGGTTTCCGTTTCCGTGGTTTGTTGTGTTCGGTTTCCGTGGTTTGTGTTTGGTGGGTTGGGTTTCCGTTTAAGTTTCCGGGGTTTATTGGGTACGTTTTTTGTTTCCGTGGTTTGTTGGGTTCGGCCCCCGTTTCCGTGGTTTGTTGGTTTCGGTTTCCGTTTCTGTGGCGCGTTTGTTGGGTTCGGTTTCTGTTCCGTTGTTTGTGGGGTTCGGTTTCCGTTTCCTTGGTTTGTGGGGTTCGGTGTACGTTTCCGTGGTGTGTTGGGTTCGGTTTTCGTTTCCGTGGTTTGTTGGGTTCGGTTGTTGTTTTTTCCGTTGTTTGTGTTTGTTGGGTTCGGTTTCCGTGTAAGTTTGCGGGGTTTGTTGGGTTCGGTTTCCGTTTCCGTTGTTTGTTGGGTTTGGTCCCCGTTTCCGTGGCTTGTTGGGTTCGGTTTCCGTTCCCGTTGTTCGTGGGGTTCGGTTCCCGTTTCCGTTGTTTGTTGGGTTCGTTTTTGTGATTCGTGGGTTTTGGTTTCCGTTGTTTGTGGTGTTCCGCTTCCGCGGCTTGTGTGGTTCGGTTTCCGTGGTTCGTGGGGTTTGGTTTCCGTGGCTTGTGGGGTTCGGTTTCCGTGGAATGGGGGGTGCGGTTTCTGGGGAATGTGGGGTTCGATTTCTGTGGTTTGTGGGGTTCGGTCTCCGAGCGTCTGACATGTGGAATGTGGCACCCGCCTGCGCGCACGCAGGGATATGGACAGGACCTCGCCTTGGCGCGCCCGGCCCCGCCCTGCGCGAGCGCGAGAAGAGCCGCAGCATCGGCGGCGCGCCGAGAGGGGGGGGATGCTTAGAGGGGTGCTGGGCCCTGGGCCCTCTCAGAAGACTCAGGAGGCCCCGGGCCTTGCGAGAAGTTTGCGATGATTTGTTTTATGCCAAAAGGGGTCTTCTCAGAAGCCCGGAGGGCTCCTGAGAAGCCCCGCCGCCTTTTGAGCAGGCTTGCCCCCTCTCACTCCACCTTCGGCGCGCCGCCGACAGCGCGCCGCCGCTGTACCTGGCAATTTGGTAGCAGCCCACAGGAGCTTAGCAGATTCTCGAAATTCGGGTTTGAAGTGCATTCGCGTGCGGTGACGTTTGGGTCGATGAGAAAGCGCAGGCTCAGGCTCAGCGTCGACTAGCGTCGATTCAGCATCGATTCGCGTCGATCCGCAAGAGCCGTAAGAGCCAGCAAGATGACATGTGAGGCTCCCATGGTTACGACGCCCCGGGCAGGCAAACCGTTCACCGGGCGGGGGAAATTCGAAGTATGGAGAAAGTGCGATTTCACGGAAGTACGAGTGCGAGTTGCCCGAAAATTGGACGCACGAAAAAAGTTGAAAGAAGTATGGGGAAGGTTCGGAATAACGCATGGGGGGAAATGGACGCATGGGAAAAGTTTGAGACCAGTGTGGAGGGGAGAGGAAGATGAACAACAATGAGACAAAGTTCGAAAGTGCAGGGGGGGGATTGGAACATGCAAAAGGCATGAAACCAGTAAGCCAGTCGCATGCAAGACGCAGGCAACATCTGGCACATGCGGACAGCACATGAGCCATAGGGACCACGCCTGTAGTTGTTGTATATGATCTGGATATCGCGTGTTTCAAATTTTCTTATTTTTCCAGGTCGCAGTGTGTGTTTTGCTTATGTTGTTTTGGTAACTCAATGTTCTCCGTACTTCGCATCCCCAAATGTGTTCCAGATTCGTGTTTACCCTGTGCCGTGGCAGCTAACACTCGAACTGTTGCGTTTTGTCTGCGTGTTTCGTTTGGGATGTTATCAGCTCTTATGGTCGCGAGTTCCATAGCGCGCAGCAGTCGCACGGGTGTCGGGCGGTTGTTTTGTTGTTTTGATAGCGAGTTTCTCGCCATCTGCATCTCCGCATTTGATCGCAGGGGGGCGCGACGTTGCGACGGCCACTTGGATGGAGGACCGATCCTTCACAGAACGGGAATTCGCCAGAGACATGTGCATCCGTTTATTCCAAATTCCGATTGCTCGTTCGGCGCGCGCGGATGGGACATTTCTGTTTTCCACGGTGGCACTTTCGCCCCAATGTCGTTCTAAGCTGATTTTAGGAATCGTTTGCGCGGGGCCGACATTTACAAGGGTGCCCGGTGCAAAAGCAGTTTCCTTCATGCATGCCCGGCCCACGGGGCGCCTGTCTTCCAGGGGCCTTTGTTTCGAGGGCGCGCGCCCAGCCTTGGAAAGGAATGCTCGCGCGGCTCGTGGGGAAGTGCGGCGAACCGGTCAGCGGGGTCGACCCCGCGAGAGGACCTCGAGAATTGGAGAGGCTGGGCGGGCTTCAACAAAACCCCCTGCCTTCTTAGAAACCCCGGCGCCTGCGTGGACGCCGATTCTCCTCGCGCCGCCCTCTTGCGGGCGCCGGCGGCGGCCCGTCTCCTCGCGCCCCCCCCCCCCCTCCGACGCCGACGTCCCCGCCGCCGCCGCCGCTCCTCCGCGCCACAAACACCCGCAACACCAGGCAGGCCTGGAACCCCAGCATCACCAACACCCGCCTCAACACTTGCAGCCGCAGCGCCAGAGGCACCCCCAGCTCCCGCCTCATCACCTGCAGCCGCACCCCCATCTTCAGAGGTCGCATGTGGCGCTGCAGATGAGCATGGGGTGGTCCTGGCGGCCGCAGAAGCAGTGGCTCCCGCGCCACCGCCTGCTGGTATCTCCTCACACGCAAACATCGTCGCGCCGCCTGCCCGGGCCACGTTGTTGCCCACTGCCTCTGCCGCGCCTGCCCCACCAGCAGCGGCGGCAGCGGTTGCATCGGCGTTGGCTCTGCCTTTTGCCGCTACCCGTGGTTGCGGGGCGCGACGTCGGCGTCATAAACGTGGATCCCATCGACAATCTTGTGGCAGCCAGTGGGCTGTACAACGAGAGTGTGGCAGGTGAGGTGAATAAGTTCGTCGTGGAGATGGAAAAGTTCCGCGTTTGCGTGCGAATCGCCATGCTCGTGATTTTTTCTTTGCGGTATCTTGTGCGCGCCTTTTTTGTGGCAGGGCGACCATTGCGAGGGCGCCTTGTGCAAGTGCGCCCCGTGGGCCAATGGTGCGGTGAGTGCGGCTGCAAAGCGCCATGCTGTTTCCTGCTTGTTTCTAGACGATGGCGCTGGCGGCACCGTTCGTGGATGGGACGGAGAGGCCATGAGAACGAATCATCGGGTGGCGGGCTTCCCGTTCGATTGGTGATACCGCTTCCGTCATCCACCAGGACAGCTTGGCCAACAGCGAGCGTGAGGAATTTGTGCTGTTGTATGCGGCGTATCTCTCCCATTCCTTGCAGCTCGTGGCAACATTTACAGATGGAAACTGTGGCCTCGACGCGATGCGTCTCATGCTCGGCTGGAGCCGGAGCGTTGTGAATCGGGGGGTTCTGCGTTGAGAGTTGCGCGCTTACGTTCTCGAGCACGTGGGCAACCGAGCTTTCGTAGCGATGCTGCGTCGCGTGGGGGAGATCGACGAGCATTTAGGGGTTCCGCGGTTTAGATGGCGCGGGCGCGTTGCTGGTCGCTGCGTTTCCCCGCGGGCCTCACCATGGCGACGGAGGCGTAGCCGACGCCCTTGTCGAGGGACCCATCTAGGGGGACAGGCACTTGAGTGAAGACGCGGCGCGGGCCGCGAGGTGGAAATGTCAGTTGCGCAAGGCAGGGCGGGAGCTCGTTTTCGACGTGC